AAGTTTAAATGCAAACACTCCATGAAAACTTCCCCAAAACTCGTAGTAGAATCCGGCACTAGCATTGAAGTCGCAAGAAATGATAAGTCACTGGCACTAACAGATCTCAAATAGTTGTTTCAAGTAGCCAATGAATGAATTATGTGCCTGTATGTATATTATGAAGTCTCATAATTTTGAATGCTCAATAACTCAGTAAAAATTTATTCCTACATTATGTAGAAAAACCGGCCTTCGAAGGATCCCTTAATGGATTTAGGTTGAAGTAACTTTGATTTTATTTGAAAAGGCGAGTGCAAGGGATTCGTAAGTTGAATAAAGCACATGTGCGATGGCAATAACACCCGACTGATCGCACATTCTCTGTAATCAGATGAAATAAATAAGAATAAAAATATAAATAATATTTCACTTGTAAGTAGGTTTTTAAGACCTGCTTGTGCATTCCTTAGTCTTATACAATGTTAATAGCTTCCTGGACATTCTAATGATAAAATGCATTAGGACCTGTTTAGCTAAACCTCGTTGCATTGTCTCTTATCAAAAGGAATATTGAATATCCATTAATGGCAAAAATTCTAGGCAAAAGTCTAGCTCTTTCGAAAGATGTATATAATTATCCCCTGCTAGCTCCCAGATATGAGTTCGTGATTTGGTGTGCAGTCAACTGGAGGACCCAGGATGATATAACTCTAGACATGTATTCAAGCGGGTAATCAGATATAACTTGCCTGGCAATTTTTTAGCCTTTCCTAGTTCAGCAGAAAGAGGCTCTTCCTTTCCCCCGAGTCGACCCTTCATTTTGGCTTTTTTGGCCTGTCGCTTGCCAGCGCGTAAGTATGAGAGAATTTGCGTCAACTTGTTTATCACAATTTCGGTTGTCGTGATACCGCCTGCAGCGTGACTTTGTAGAAATGGGCAGTCTGACTTGCTGCGAATTACTGTGGTTGGCACTTCGGAGTCAGCAAATTCGTCTTCAAGCTCCACACGATATGCCATTCTGCCCGACTGAAAGTACTCATTGCGCAAAGGCAATGACTGGCCAAATAGCGTCTCTATAATGCTCTGGGCTAAGCGGGTCTTGAACTGCATCTGTTCACCAGCCTTCTTGCCAATAAGTCCGACCGGTGGTTCAGCAACCGAAATAACTGGCTTCTCTGGTTTGTCTAACTCGACATCCAACAACTGATCTACCTCACGTTCTTTATTCTGAATCTCGAGTCGCACCTTCTGAAGCAAGACGTAATCAAGTCCTTTTACCAAATGCGTGTGCTCCATATCACCACCGAGATATTTTGACTCTTGAATCAATAACTTTCTGCGCTCAGCATGAGATGCTCCAGCATCGGCGGTAGGTGCAACGGTTCGGTAGTCGGCGGTTCGCCTCAAAGCTTCTTCATCCGCTTCAGCATCACGTCCAAGGATTTCTGCAGGTTCGTCATCTTCACCATCAGCTTCGCGAACAGTAAGTTTGCCCTCTCGTCGCTCCCGAGCTCTGTCCCGGTAACGAGGCCGACGCTCAGAATCGATAATCTCTCCACTAGCGCCAGCGCCACCACCGCCAACGACAGGAGGTTCTTCTGCTACTGGAGGGCGGCCCTTTGTGTCTCCACGCTGCCGGACCTGCGGCCTTTGGTGTCTACGATGCCCGCCCGAATGGCCGACTGCTTTAGATTTAGAGTGCTGACTACTGCTGCCACCACTAGCAAATGCGCCAGCGTATGGTCGGCGCCGATTGTCTTGTCCCTCTTCAGCATCACGGTCTTCTGCATTGACAGAGGCTTCAGCAGCGGCTGAAGAGTAAGAATGAGTTATTGGTGCGCGTGGCGTCATTAAAAGTCGCCGGAAGTCGCTGTTTGACAGCTGAGGAATCGGAGTATCCTTGATATTAATGGAATTATCCGGTGCCATCGGATTTGTAGCGTATTTGGAAAATTCCATGGTTAAAGTCTTCGAGAAGCTATTATGAAGGAAAAATTACATATAATTTAATATTCCATGAAAAAAATGTCTGAGAGTTTGTCTAAATTAATTAAAACACAGGAAAGCACAGCGAAAGCACTATTGATGTGGATAAGCGGAGATCCCACTTTATTATGTAAAGTCTTTTTACACATAAAATACTAGCAGTTGCCTTCTTACAACTAAAAGAGAAAAATAATTGAGAGAAAACGAAGACTTCCGGATATTTTTAATGCTAATAGTGAATTGAATGATTGGGAAAGAAGGCAAAAGAATCAAGATGTAGCGAAATATATGGTATAGTATGGACAGCTAATAGTATTCGAGTCATAAAAAGAGACGATTAAGAACATCATCATGGCTTGCCTAATATAATATAACGCAAGGCTTTATGGGCTCCAATTCTATTTATTCGAGGATTTTCCAAGTGGAGCGATTTTGACAAATTAAATTTGTTGAAATATCTGCAGTAAAAAAGACCAGCTAGACAAATGAGGCAGAGTTGGTGTTGACAAATTCGTCCTATCTAAACTTGAAAACGAGTTCTATGTGTAAGTTGTGATACTAAAAATTTTCTAAATTAACTATTGTAGATAACAAATTTATGAGTGCAAACGGCTATGTATCCAAAGACCTGAAATTACTGAATACATGGATAATGCAGGATACTAAGTAGAAAAACGTTTAATATAAAAAAGGGTTTTCACATCTAAACGCGGGATTAGGGAGCCTATAGGAATAAACAAGACGACCTACATTATAAATAGGTTGAATGGGTGTGGTAAACTAAATGAGAACCATTGATGGCTGTTAGATGGGCCTAAGAGGAGCAGTGGGAACCAATAAGCATGATAAGGCGTGAATAATATGAGATGTATTCACCAAATTTCGTTTAAGGTGATAAAGGACTGGTAGAAAAATTTTCCCACAATGATATGAGTAGAGCTCATGTTTCCATTTAATTTCACATATAATTGCTTTCCCAAAAGTTGTCCTCATCCAGGGTTAACTGCAGTTTCGACCTCGCATCAGTCTTATCAACACCCTCAGCCGGAGTCGAACTGTGACAGTGCAGAATGGGAGCTTAATACGTTAACCACTCGGCCATATTGCCACGAGTGCCCTTTGGTCATATGGCAAATTTGAATTTCAAGGAAGGCCAGGCCTTTTGCCATATCATATTCTTCGGTGGGATTGCCGATGAAGCAAACGTATATTTGCTATAACAATCGACTACGTTACTTTGTTATTCGCATTTAAGTATTGTTTCGAGACTACCAATGGGAAAACAAGGATGGGTGGAATTCAATGGAAACGTCAGCTCTACTCATATCATTGTGGGAAAATTCTTCTACCAGTCCTTCATCA